TGATTTCACTGGGATCTGCACTGAGAGGCAGAAGGCAACAAACTTCATGTTCTTCCCAGACTGCATCTGATTTTGCCTTATAATGACATCTTGTCATAAACATGATGTCTTCTAGAGACACCTGTGACAGAAAATGACGCAATGTTTTTTCATTGATGCAATTAAAAAACCGGTATAAAATGCAGAACATGTAGAGAAATAAAGCAAATATAAGTGTTTTCCTCAAAAGAGATTAATAACTTTGTTTAGCACCTGTTAATTGTTCACAGCTTTGATTGATTATGTTTTCATTGTTATTGTAGATTTGTTGAATTAAGTGATGGATTTTATTTTTACATATAAATAATGTACTTTACTCTCACACACCCTTTAAATTCTCTTGTCTCTTTACGATTTCAGTTGTCACCTTCCTCTTTTCTAATTACTGTCCTGTCTTCATCGTAAACACACACACACACACACACACACACACACACACACACACATATACACTATACACACATACATCTAGAGAAAATGTGACAAAGGTCTTTCCTAGCCTTGTTATGTTTAGCCTGATGATGTACCTATTCTACTACAGATGACACAATTTCATTCTTCTTTACGGCTGAGTAAAACTCCAATATGAGAGCTGTAGAGATGGCTCAGCAGTTAAGAGTGCTTGTAAATTCAGTTCCCAGCACCCATGTCAGGTGACTCACACCATCTGTAACTCCAGCTCCAGAGGACCCAGGGCCTACTTCTGGCCTCTGAAGGCACCTAAACATACATGTAGAGAAACACACACACACACACACAAATAATTTTAAAATAGTCACATATATGTAGGTATATATAACTTTTTATACAATCAACTTTTAATCCAGGATATTTCTATAATTTGGCTATAAATATACACAGGTATCTCTGTTGGATGCTTACAAAGACTCCTATGGGCCTGTGTACAAGAGCTTTGTAACTCGATCATTTGAAATCCTTTTTTAACAAGCAGCAACATCATGTTTGGCATTTTAATGTAGATATAATTATTAGGTTAATGGTCATATTATATTTAAGTTTACTTTCTGCCCTTTAGTATACATTAAAGATAAAAGACCGATAGAAGGAGAAAGCATTTCAACAATATTTTTTAAATTAATTACAGTTTATTCACTTTGTATCTCAGCTGTAGCCTCCATTCCTCCTCCTCTTCCATTCCCACTCTTCCTCCCTCATCTCCTCCCATACCCCTCTCCAAGTCCACTGAAAGGAGTGGTCCTCCTCCCTTTCCATCTGATCCTAGCCTATCAGGTCTCATCAGGACTGGCTGCACTGCCTTCCTCTGTGACCTGATAAGGCTGCTCCCCCCTCAAGGAGAGGTGATCAAAGAGCCAGCCACTGAATTCATGTCAGAGACAGTCCCTGTTCCTATTACTAGGGAACCCACTTGGAGATCGAGCTGCCATGGGCTACATCTGTGCTGGGGTTCTAGGTTATCTCCATGCATGTTCCTGGGTTGGAGTATCAGTCTCAGAAAAGCCCCCTGGCCCAGATTTTTTGGTTCTGTTGCACTCCTTGTGGAGCTCTTGTCCCCCTCCAGGTCTTTCTATCTTCCCCCTTCTTTCATAAGATTCCCTGTACTCTGCCCAAAGTTTGGTTATGAGTCTCAGCATCTGCTTTGATACCTTGCTAGGTAGAGTCTTTTAGGGGCCCTCTGTGGGAAGAGTCTTGAACTCATTGGCACAGGAGACAACTTCCTGAATAGCATAGGCTCTAAGATCAACAATCAATAAATTGGGACCTCATGAAACTGAAAAGCTTCTGTAAAGCAAAGGATACTGTCATCACAACAGAACGACTGCCGACAGACTGGGAGAGGATCTTCACCAACCCTGTATCTGACAGAGGGCTAATATCCAGAATATATAAAGAACTCAAGAAGTTAAACAGCAACAAATCAAGTGATCCAATTAAAAAATGGAATACAGAGCTATACAGAGAATTCACAACAGAGGACTATCGAATGGCAGAGAAACACTTAAAGAAATGCTCAATGTCCTTAGTCATCAGGGAAATGCAAATCAAAACGACCCTGAGATTTCACCAAACTCAAGTGACAATACATGCTGGAAAGGATGTGGAGAAAGGGGAACGCTCCTCCACTGCTGGTGGGAATGTAAACTTGTACAGCCACTTTAGAAATCAATCTGGTGCTTTCTCAGAAAATTAGGAATAGTGCTACCTCAAGTTGCAGCTATGCAAGTATTCATCAAGGACATTTGCTCATTCTTTTTATAAAGTTTTCAGAACTGCCCCAGTAAGTGACATAAGCTTGAAATATCTCTAGGCGTTTTCTTGGGCACTCTTGATGCAGCAGCGGGTGTAAAGAGAAGGAAAACAGGTGCTGTCAATTGAGGCTTAGGCTTGTTTTCCCCTCCCACGGGAGCACATGAAATGGTGACAGCAGGGACCTCATGCTGGCACTGGGCAGAGGGTGTTATGCAACTGCTTGTCTGTACTCAATATACTGAATGTCTATTAGAAACTTCATTCTTTGCACTTCTTAATCATGCTGACACTGGCCCTGATTGTGGCTCTTGAGGAGTTAATCACCTCTTGAATCCTACAGACTGGGAAAGGATCTTCACCAACCCTATATCTGACAGAGGGCTGATATCCAGAATATATAAAGAAGCCAAGAAGTTAAAAAGCAACAAATCAAGTGATCCAATTAAAAAATGGGGTACAGAGCTAAACAAAGAATTCTATCAAAACAAAGAGGACTATCAAACGGCAGAGAAACACTTAAAGTGCTGAAGCATTTTCTGTATTTTTGTGATTTGGCCTACAGCAGCTTAAGATACATTCTCCACAGGGACTGTCTCTGACATGAACTGATTGGCCTGCTCTTTAATTACCTCCCCCTGAAGGGAAAGCAGCATTACCAGGCCACAGAAGACAACACAGCCACTCCTGATGAGACCTAATTGACTAGGATCAGAAGGAAGGAAAAGAAGTCCTCCCCTATCAGTGGACTTGAGGAAGGGCATGCATGCAGAGGGTGGAGGAAGGGAGGGATTGGAACTGGAGGAGGGAGGGAACCATGGGGGGGATACAAAGTGAATAAAGTGTAATTAATAAAGAAAAAAAAAGATACATTCTCCAGTCCTCATCTAGAACACTTCCAGTCTGTCCATTTGCTTTGGTGTATCCTGCATTGAAGGAATAATTTTAATTGTTGTGCTCTCACTGCTGAAGTACATGTTTAATGAAAATGAAGGTTCTGCATCTTCCTTTTCTAAATCATGGTCAATTATTTTCACATCAAGTAATTATTTGTTTTGGTCAGCTTTTCATTTTTCTGAGTGCTGTCTTGAAATTCTTTATAGCTGACAGTTTTATTGTTAGAGGCAAGAACTGCCATTTGACAGGTTGTAACCATGGCTACGTAGTTTTCCTAGATATTTCATTTTAATTTCACCTATTCAGAGATACTGTAACAGGTGAGTTTCTCTTCACTGACAGGATGGTTCTAGGATAATCCAAACATCTTGCCTCTTTCTTCTAGCTCTTGGGGAGTTGCAGATTCGAATGAAGCAATCTGAATGAAAGGCCATGTACCAGCTTGAAGACTAGTATTTAAAAGTCAGTTCTTAAATCTTTTACTGTGTCTTCATTTTGCCAATAATTCTTTCATAGAACTTGTGGAAAACTACTCTACCCCCTGTATCAAAGGGGGACGTTTGATACATGGACGTTCAGCAGCTCTCTGTGGAAAATATCTGTACCCACTGGTTTTGTATTAACTTTACAGAAGAGTCATCAGAGAGGAAGGAGCCTCCAGTTGAGGAAATGTCTCCATAAGTTCCAGCAGTTATGGCATTTTCTCATTAGTGATCAGTGGGGGTCCGTCCATTATAGATGGTCCCATCCCTGGACTGGTCCCTGGGTTCTATAAGATAGCAGGCTGAGAAAGTCATGATAAGCAAGCCAGTAAGGAGCACGCTCCATGGCTCCATGCATCAGTTCCTGCCTCCAGGCTCCTGCCCTGCTCAAGTTCCTAACTTCTTTTGATGATGAACAGTGATGTGGAAACATAAACCAAATAAATCCTTCCTTTTTCTTCCCAAGTTTCTTTTGGTATTTCATCACAGCAATAATTTCATCATCCTAACTAAAACACGTCTATCACTGACATTGTGTTTGTCACATTGATCACTGGATATAAAAATTCTCAGAAGTTTCAGTTGTACTCAACTGCAGTACAGTTTGCATTAGTCTGATATCAGTTGAGTAACACTGTCCTAAGAAAAACACCTCTTTCTCTTCTCCACCTCCTCCCTGTCCCCTTCCTCCCTATGCAATCCCATCCCATCTCTTCTTGTCTTTCTCTTTTGTGCAGATAACAATCCCAGGATCCAAACCAGGGCATGCTGGCAAATTACCACAATAGCTACCTGCCAAGTCTACAAGAACAAAAAGTCTAAATTTTACATCTGGAAAGATGACTCTTGCAGAAGCCCTGAGTTTAGTCCCAACACTCACATCCGGCAGTTTTCAACCACCTACAAGCCTAGCTCCAGGGGATCCGATGCCCTGCCCCCCTCTACAGGCATATGGCATGTACACATATATGCAGGCAAAGCACTCATATATGTAAAATAAAATAGGAAACTTTTTTTCTTTTCAGTTTAAATTTTCCATGTCAGGGCACCTTATCTATAGAACATTTTTCTCCTATTTATAAAGCAGCATGAAACATAAACTTGTTCTTCCCTTGCAAAATAAAAGAAAAAGTTAAGACTGGAGCAGTCCTTCTACCTTGTTCTGAGGTGGGTCTCCTTACATTCTAGCTTTCTGCCAAGTTTCCATGTTTGCCTCCTGTGTCACCCTAGGAATGCTGAGATTCTGTGTCCCACTACATCCTCCTTTTATGAAGGTCTCGGGGACTGGAGTCAGGCCGTCGACTTGTATGGTAGTGCTTTTATTAGTGTATTCAGATATTAACAAAGCAGACAATATTAAAATAATTTATTTTTAATTTTCAATAAATACTTGATACATAGCCATATCTCCAATGATAAAACAACTGTCCCGAGTTTGGGAAAAATTAAATTTATAAAATGTTTATAAGAAAAAAATTATTCATTATACAGCATTTAAGAATAAAGCTGTCTGAAGAGCTCAAATCTGACACACCCGTGGCTTCAATCAAGATACAATGCCAATGTATACCTAGTCTATAACCTCAAAATCTTAATATATGTCTGTTCTGTAACGTTAACTTACTCATCATAAACTTCCTCATTGCTATCCCTCCCACTTCCACCTTTAAAATGCCCTGACTATAGAACAGTGATTGGTTCGCTACGAGAGGCATCTCTTTCTGCTAGAGAACACGTACTATCATCCATTAAACTTTTGGTTGTTGCTGGGCATGCTGGTGCACGCCTTTAATCTCCCACTTGGGAGACAGAGGGAGGTGGCTTTCTGAGAAGATATCCTGCTCTGCAGACTGTTCTAGAACAGCCAGGGCTACAGAGAAAACCTGTCTCAACACCCTGCCCCAGTTTTATTTTTTATTTTGTGGTTGTCTTTACAAAAGGCTACCAATTGATACTGCATGTACAGGGCTCAGAAACATCCAAACACAGATCAGAACCCTACATCATGATCCAGCCCCAGCAATGGATGGTAGTGCTGAAGACTTTCTCAACTCTTGCAAAGTAGAACTCACTCCCACCTTATGACTTAACATCTCTTCCACTATAATTGTAAACAGATTTTGCTAAACAGCAGTTAACTGAGTTAATTAGTTAACATTACCACCAAAATAGTTAACTTTCAATAGGAAAATAATTTCAGAATGGTTAAAGCACAAAATCAACTGAGAATGACAGAAATTAGTATACAGAACTGGCCTTTCATCTGTGAGTCAAACATCCAGGGGCTCATAGAAATTGTACATTAACATTTGATCTTACTGCACATGCAGCTTTTCCTTACAAAGCATTGTATAATAATCATGGTTAACATTTACACTGCTGTTAGTGCTACAATCAACCTGGAGAAGTGTGAAGTGTGAGAGAAGGGTGCATAAGTTATATGCAAATCTTGTAAGTCTTGTGCATCCAGAGTTTTGGTTGTGAAGGGGGTCCTGAAATGAATCATCCCATGTGAAGACTGCAGGATATTACTGGCTCTTCCTTGACCCTGTTCTGTCGTTGTTATTGTTATAATTATCTTTAGGCTTAGCGACTAACAACCCATGCCATCATGTCTGCAAGGTAATCATAGCACCACTGAACTGTATCCCCAGCCCTGCCCACTTAATCTGTTAGTGCGATTCTGAAGCAGCTCATTTTCAGGCCTATGATAAAATTTAATGCTATATAAAATACGTGGCTAATAGGAAAGTGTTCTGAATATGTTTGTCAAAATGTAAAAAATGAGTTCTCTCTTAATTCTTCAATCTTGTCACAGCCATATATTTGGACAGGCTAAATTGTTTTTATTTATGGAATAATTTCAGAATAACCTCTCATAAATGTCTTTTACAAATATCAGTGCACATGGATATACTACAAAACTGAAAGTCAGTTGGGTTTTTTTCTCAAACGAATTCTGGTTGTAAAATTCCTATGTGCCATAGAAAGGAGCCCAATTTAAAACCAAACCATTCTTACTAGGTAGAAAAATTTTCACTTCATTTATACATTCACATTCTATGTATTTTCTCATGGTCAACAAATTGGCTCAAATTGTTTAAGTTGTCCCACCATTTAAAGAGAAAAGTGTCTGTAATAATTTTAAACCATGGAGTTAACTTAATTTCACCACTGGCTGCTCTCTTCACAATTTCTTTGAGTTCTTCCTTTGATACATAACAATAGCTTTTAATCTCATTGGGATCTGGATTCAAAGTTACATCCTTCCTCAGAAACAAAATATAGTCAATTTCATGTTCACCCCAAATACCATCAGATTGGGCCTTGTAGTAAATTCGTGTTAGATAATGCATTTCATTTGGATCAACCTACAACATAAAAAGAAAAATCAGTTAGTAATATTATCGATGAGGACGGGCAAAGTGATGCATGTCTTTAATCCCAGCGCTGAGGAGGCAGAGCTAGGCGGTTCTGAGTTTGAGGTCAGTCTGCTCGACATAGTAATTTCAAAGCTAGATAAGGATGCACAGTGAGACAGCGTCTCAAAAAAACAGAGAAAAGACAACTAATGACAAAAGATAACCTAAAATTAACACATTTAAGGGATATCTTGTTTTGTAAATTTATTTTCTGTGTATTTGAGTGTTTCGCCTGCATATATATCTGTGTACCAGTTGTGTGCCTGGTGCCCTGGGAGACAAGAAGAGGGCAACTGATCTCCTGGAACTGGAGTTACAAAGGACTGTGAGCTACCATGTTGGATCCTTTGGATGAGGAGCCAGTGCTCTTAACTGCTGAGCCATCTCTCCAGTCCTTTAACAGGATGTTGAATGACAGCAGCATAATTTCGCAATCAGAGCTTTTATTTATTTATCTATCTATTTATCTATTTATTTATTTATTTATTTATTTATTTATTTATTGAGACGGTTTCTCTGTTTAACAGCTCTGGCTGTCTTGGAACTTCCTCTGTAGAATAGACTGGCTCTCAACTCACAAAGTTCTGCCTGCCTCCTGAGTACTGGGATTAAAGGCATGTGCCACCTCCACCTAGCCTACAATCAGAACTTTAAAGTACTAGTCTACTATATGGAAAATTATTACTGTTTTGAATGTCTACATTTACACAATGAAATACTACTCAGCAATTAAAAACAAGGAAATCATGAAATTTGCAGGCAAATGATGGGAACTAGAAAAGATCATCCTGAGTGAGGTATCCTAGAAACAGAAAGACACACACAGTATATACTCACTTATAAGTGAATATTAGACATATAATATTGGATAAACATACTAAAATCTATACACCTAAAGAAGCTAAGCAAGAAGGAGGACCCTGGATGAGAGGATCAATCCTCATTCAGAAAGACAAATGGGTTGAACATTGTGGAGGGAGAAAACAGGCAATAGGATAGGAGCCCCCACAGAGGACCTCTGAAAGACTCCACCTAGCAGGGTATTAAAGATGATGCTGAGACTTAGAGCCAAACTTTGGGCAGAGTGCAGGGAATCTTATGAAAGAAGGGAGAGAGAGAAAGATTTGGAGGAGACAGGAGCTCCAGGAGAGCAACAGAACCAAAAACTCTGGGCACAGGGGTCTTTTCTGAGACTGATACTCCAACCAAAGGACCATGCATGGAGATAACCTAGAACCCCTGTACAGATGTAGCCCATATCAGTGGGCTACCCTAGTAAGGGGAACAGAGGCTGTCTCTGACATGAACTCAGTGATTGGCTCTTTGATTACCTCCCCCTAAGTGGGGGAGCAGCCTTACCAGTCTACAGAGGAAGACAATGCAGCCAGTTCTGATGACGCCTGCTAGGTTAGGGTCAGATGTATCGGTAGAAGGACCTCCCCTATCAGGGGACTTGTGAAGGGGCATAAGAGAAGAGGGAGGAAAGGTGGGATTGGAAGGGAAGGAGGGATGGGAGCTACAGCTTGGATACAAAATGAATAAATTGTAATTAATAAAAAAATTAATTTAAAAAGTTACTCAAACTAAAACACAGCATTCATACTTTAAGTAACTGGCTTTTATAGAACATTTACCATTTCAACTAAATGTGAGACACTTTGTCTTAATCTTTAAAGAGGACAATTTAGTCAGGCATGGTGGTGTACTCCTTTGGTTCCACCATGTGGCTAGAAGCTGAGGCAGGCAAAGTTCAAAGCTAGCCTGGTCTACACAGTGTGCTAAAGGCTAGCTAGCCCTAAATTTGGGTTTCTTAAAATGATGGTCATAGTTTTGTTCAAGTCTATAAGGTTGGCTATTATAATTGATAAAATCAGAGATGAATGATTTCTTGTGGACATCCTTAGGAACATGAACTACAAATCTCATTTATTTAAATAACCCTTTCTTTCCTTGGAATAGTTCCTTCTAATTGTTCCTTCATTCTTTCATTTTGAGGCAAGGTCTCACCATGTAGCCCTGGTTAGCTTAGAACTCTCTGTGTAAATAAGACTGGCCTGAAACTCAGAGAGAACCACCTACCTCTGCCTCCTCCATGTTGGGACTTAGCTCAGTTAGGGCTTGGCAAGCATGGATGATACCCTGGGTTCCATCCCCAGCACCACATAAACTAGGCATGATACTTATATTCTGAGCACTAGGAAAACAAAGGCAGGCAGATCATCAGATCAAGATCATCTTCAGCTACAAAGTGAGCTCAAGGTCAGCCTGAGCTACATGAGAGCCATTGTATCTGTCCCTCCCCCCCAAAAAGAGGGAGGCTGGGGAGATAGCTCAGCAGTTAAAGGTACTATCTGTTCTTCCACAGGACTCAGGGTTTTGGTGTCTTCTAGCACTGCACATACATGGCACACAAGACACACATGCAGAAAAAACACTGACATAAAAAATAGGTATTGAAATTTTTAAAGCAAGAGGCTGGAGAGACAGCTTAGCAGTACCTATCACGTGCTCTTCTAGAAGACTCAGGTTTGGGTTCTGGCATGCACATGGTGACTCAGAACTAGTTGCTACTCCAGTTTCTGGTAATCTAACACATTCTTTCTGGTCTTTTTGGCACTAGGTGGGCATTACTGTTGGCAAAACGCTCATACATTTAAGAAGATAAAACAAATCTAAAACGGTATTTTTTTTTTTTTTTTTTTAAAGAGAGAGAAATAAAACAATTTAGCTGGAATCCCAGCAGTTAGGATGCAAAAACAAGCATATTGTGTACTGAAGGCCAATATGAGCTGTGGAGCAAGATAGTGTCTAAAAAACCAAAACAATAAAAATGTACATAATAGTCCTATTGAAGGGCTAATTTCATAAATCAGGAAGTTACAAACTACAGACTCCGTACTACTATAACCCCAGCAATTCGGAGGCTGTGGCAGGAAGGATGAAGAATTTAAGGGCAGCTTGGGCATAGTTAAACTCTGTATCAAAATAGAATTATTGGCCTGGAACTTAGTGGAAGAGTACTTGCCAGGAATGTACAACACTGGGGTGCACTCAAAGCATTGCTGAAAATTTCTTTTTGGTAATCAATCAGTGTCTTAACATGCTTAGATTTCGGCTGTAGATTGTTTAGTATGATGGATTACCTCTGCTAAGGGGATTCCCAATTCAGCTTTTAAGCGCCTCTGTGCTGCTCGCTTTACACCGATGGCATTGTTTTCTTCAAGCTCACCTGGATTACTTAAGGGATGACTACAGCAACTATTGGTGAAACAACCTGGAAAGTATTAATATGAACAAAGAAAAATTTTTTTCAAATCAGGCCTGAAAAAATCAAGAAAAAGTTTTATAAGTAATCAAATCAGAGTTTTAAGTCCGTTACAATGGGCTCCCACTAGTATTTTCTAAAAGACGGTTAGAGGTTTTAATGCTTTCTTAATCAAGATCAAAATATATAGATAATTCAGATATTAAAATTATACTCATTGTATAAACTTATTAACTAACATAATAATGAAGCCATTTGTCTGGCTGTTCCTTTTCGACCCCAGAGTTTCAAAAATTCAGTCAGTTTAAATATAGTTCTCAGCAAAATCTACCTTGTTCATTAAGTATACTAACCTGGAAAGGTAATTTTAGCATCTGATCTCTGCTGTAACAGGAGCTTATTTTCAGTATTAAATAAAAAGACACTAAAAGCTCGATGTAATAATCCTAAAAACAAAACAAGTATGGTTGGTTAGAAAATGCCAGTTATTTGTCCAATTTTCCCTCTTGCAGTTGAGAATATGATCAGCAACTTGCTAATATCTCTGCTATTTTCCAGTCTTCTGATAGGAATCTCTGTATAGCTGTTATGGAGAACAGTTCCAGAGAACCAGTAAGACTCAGTCACCAAGTGAAAGAAATAGCAAGGTTGGCAGGTTTGATATAGGCCAAATGATCTTTCAGAAAGAGTTAACCCAGACCATTTTGTATCCTGCAGTGTGTGTGTGTGTGTGTGTGTGTGTGTGTGTGTGAAGGTTCATGTTTCCATTCAACACCTACTTCTCTCTCCAGTCTTCAAAAAGACAGGTTTGAGTACTGTTAATAATCTATTCCTTTTTTATAAGCCCAGAATTATTCTGAAGCTGCTTAATAAAGTCCATAAAGTGGAGAGAAATATTTAAAGGAGAGGTAGCAAAGTAGATTTTATTTCTACACTATTTAACTGGAATGAAAGGTAAAAGGTCATTAAGAAATGGATATCTCAGGGCTGAAGAGATGGCTCAGTGGTTAAGAGTTCTCACTGTGCTTTTAGACGACCCACATTTGATTCCTAGAACTCACATGATGGCTCACAAACACCTGTAGCTCCAGTTCCAGAGTATCTATTATCCTCTACTGAACTCTGTGAGCACCAGGGATGCATGTGGTTCAAATACATACATGAAGGCAAAGCATTTACACACACACACACACACACACACACACACACACACACAAATGAAGGAAGGAAGGAAGGAAGGTAGGAAAGAAGGAAGAAAGGAGAGAAAGAAAGTAGGAAGGAAAGAAAGAAAAAAAAAAAGGGATCTCTCAGTATTTTGGGAAGCAGATTTCTGTGAGCACCATCGAGTCAGAGTTACATAGTGAGACCCTCTCTAACCGCCCAAAGAAAAAGCATTCCTTTTATTTCAATATTTTTGTCAGCTCATTAGAAATGTCTAAACAAATCACTTTATAACAAAAAATACTTTAAAACAGTACCTTTGTCAATGTTTTCATTTAGGTGACAGTTTTTCTTGGTGTCAGCCCCAATTTTATTGTCATTTTCGTCAATAAGAATACACATCTCTGCTAGAAGTTTAACCTGTTGTTCATCAAGATGGCTGGTATTTATTTCAGGCATTGCGACAGAATGTCTGATCTGACCTAGAGTACTAACATTGAGAAAAGTCATTATATTAGTTTTCTAAATGGCATATAAATGTAATAAAGAAGCAGATCTAGATTTGAGCAGAGGAACTAATTCAACCACAAGCAAATACAATTACGCTTACTCTTCCCATCTGCAGCATCACAGGCCCTCCATGGGGCTTCTTTAAGAATGCCACTGGCCAAACACTCAACCCTATCTTGTCCATCTTTTCTCTTACAATCACAACTAGTCTTTTATAACATTTGCTCTAAAATGGCAAACTCAATGTTCTATTCAAATAATTGAACTGACATCTCTTGTAGCATTGGAAAGTCAAATATTTTCCCTTTGTGTATTTTTAATATATTTATTCATGCATGATCTGGCTCCAACCTAACTTTTCCTCCTATTTTTCCCCAAGTCTTTGGATTTTCAATTACATGTCCCCACAATCACGCAAATTACTTACTTACTTACTTAATTAATTAATTAATTTATTGCCATTCTCTTTCTTAGCACAACTGCTATCAAATGCCACAAACCAATGTTAATTGAAATCCAGTTTACAAAGTCCAGTTCCCAATCATTTAATCAATGTCCCAGTAAGATGTAGTCCAAATTTCAACCTGGGCTCCTAGTTAGAAAAGATTTATGCAACTATTTTGTCAATTCTCCCCAAAGCAGCCAGTCTATAGATAATATTTCTTGATGAAGAGAAAACTTTATTCATTATATTCAAGGAGACCTCTCTAATCTTTGTGTTCTTCAGAATAGAATACCTTACATGTCTTCCCAGTTTTTTTTTAAGTTTTTCCACACTATTTATTTTGAAGATTCCATGTGCTCTACTTTTAAATATATAGATTAATGGAGTTGAAACATATCACTGAACATATACGGAGTTTAAATAAAGAAGTACAGAAATGGCTACCTAACATTTCTAAAAGTAAATAGAGTAGAGATTCAACTAAGTGAGAGAAAGGGGAATGTCAGAAGTCACTGATGGCAATGAGGCTAAAAATATTGAATACCAAAAAAACCCAGAAATGAGCTTAATGATTACAGAAGATGTGAAAAGTGGACTTAAACTCACAGGATATATTTACAACGTTCATAGACTAATTTAAAATACTCATTAAGGCAGATTGTATTCTTGTGGAATTACTAAACTTTCTGAAATAATTAGTCTTTAACTCATAACGCCAGGATATAAAGAAAGAACTTCATGATGACAGGATCGAGTGACATTTTCTCATCCACTTAAAGAACAGTCGTGGAATCAGATGGAAGGGGAGGAGGACCTCCCCTATCCGTGAACTGGGGGAGGGGGCGTGGGTGGAGAAGAGGGAGGGTGGGATTGAGGGGACGAGGGAGGGGCTACAGGTGGGACACAAAGTGGATAACCTGTAATTAATAATAATTTTTAAAAAAAGATGAGTTGTAGAAAATACAAATGCACATCACCGAACTCAAGAAAAAGATCTAGGAACATAGAGAAGCGTTTCCATCTCTCTGTAAAATCCACCCAGACATTTATCAACCACAACACCTGCAAGCCTTTCCTTTAGCTACAGGAAAGCAGCTTAGGAGTCGACCTATTTACTCGTTTTTGGAAAAAGACAAGTGAAGTGCTCCACACAGGAGCGAAGACCAGGTTTTCTGGAGTCAGTTCCCCAAGGTCTAGGAACCGCAGCAGTTTTTTTCAGACCGTCGGATCGCTCCTCGGGCCTCACCCCCGACAGCCCCTGGGACGCAGTCGACCAGCCAACGCTTTCCAGGACCACGCACCCAGCCCAAGGGCAGTGATGCCCAGACGGAGGCGGCAGTCCCGGGCAACCCACACGTCAAAGGCCCACCGTGGCACCGCGTTGGAAAGCCCTGCCAGCTCGGCCTCACAACGCCACCCCGCCCTCCCGGCGCGAGCCGTCCTTCGCCTAACACAGGCACCCTTACCAGATATTCCAGCGAGAGACGCCGCGGAGCCCGGCGGGCCGCCGGATTTTAACTCCCTCCGCTGCAAGCCCCGCCTCCGGAGCCCGCCCCCTAAAGGCCTGTCCAATCACCCGCGCCAGCGCCCGTCCGCGCCACATGCCCTCAGCCAATTGCCACGCTAGCGCCCGCCTGACGTCACGGCCGCGCGAGGCTGGCGCGCGGTGGCACCACCTCCCCGGCGCGTGGCTCTGGAAGAGGCGCTGGAGGTCGCGAGAAGGGGCGGCGGCCCTGGGCCGCGACGGGGGTTGTCGAGGGCGCCCGGTGGGCCGCTGAGACGGCCCGCACGCCCTGCTGCTTCCCGGTGGGGAAGTTTCCCTACTGGGGCGGTGTCTTGAGGAGGGTGTGGCTTAGTCGGTCGCCAGCCAATGGCACCTTCGACCATGCCCGGGCACGCCAATAGCTGGAGGCAAAAACCAGGGCATGACCCCTGACGCCGGAGGGTGTTTGTGCGTGATGATGTCAGACGCCTCCCGCCGAGCAGTTTTCTCACTGGACATTGATGGAAGTTAGAAAAAGCAGTCGGACGCACTCCTGTAATCCCAGCGCTCAGGGAGGCAGAGGCAAGAGGATCTCTGGAGTTGGAGGCCACCTTGGTCTATAAAGCGAGTGCAGGACAGCCAAGACTACACAGAGAAACCCTGCCTGAAAGTGGGGGTGGGGAGGGTGTTGAGGGAAAAATAAAGAAAAAGCAGTTAACGTGTTTGTAACATTTACCCCTGCCTCCCCAGCATGATATCCCAGTCTGTTTCCGGGTAGAAAATTATGTACATTTGCAGCAGCGATAATTCCCGGGGTGCTTTGGAGTGCGGAATTGTTGAGCAAAGTTAAATGAAGTAGAGTGCAGTTGGGGAACCCGCGTCTGGACTGGATTAATTAGTCATTAAACCATCATGTGACGATCCATTCTCAATAAATTCAGTGACACAAGATTATCATATGGTAGGAATTTTTCACTACAAATTATGTGTGAATTTTTTGTAAATGTGGCACGTCTTTTTTTTTTTTATGGAAAAATAACTTTATTGCAAGGGTAACACTTAACATCCCATTTACAATTAAAACAAAATTTAAAAACTAATGCAACATATATTAATTTTGCATTTCCATTTCATGCAGAAAGATACATAATGTATACTTACTAAAAATAAAACATTAAAACATCCATCTATATTTTATATTTTGTCCTGTTTTGTGGTCAAGTGCCCTTCAAACACTTTACTTCATAAAACTTTTTTATTTTTTTTAACATTTTTTTATTTTTAAATAATTTTATACATTCACTTGTATCCCAGCTGTAGCCCTCTCCCTCTTTCCCTTCCAATCCTCCCCCCCCCCTCATCTCCTCCCTGCCCCCTTCCAAGTCCACTGAGAGGGGAAGTCCTCCTCTCCTTCCATCTGACCCCCTTACATGGATACTGAGCTACCATGGGCTATGTCTGAGCAGGGGTTATAGTGGCTTGTCTTAAACCGCAGCACTTGGGAGGCAGAGGCAGGCAGATCTCAGAGTTTGAGGCTAGCTTGGTCTACAGCGGGAATTCCATGACAGCCAAAGCTACACAGAGAAACCCTGTCTTGAAAAACCGAATGAATGAATGAATGAATGGCCAGCAAATCCTCATGCTTCTCCCCAGTTTCGGGTTATACATGCACACTGAGATGCCTGGCTTTTTCCATGGTTGCTGGGGATCTGAGCTCAGGTCTTTGTTTTCACACTTTACCCAAACTCTCTTCCCAGCCCAGTATCTGTGGGACTCAAGTACATATTTGGAACATTTAAAAGTATATTTCCTATGTATGATTTTGTAACATGAATTAGCCATTTGATTGAGTTACTGAATTAAGCAAGTCTTCCAAATGTTGATACATTTCATTATTCACTATCAAGCAATCACATTAATATCACCAATATTATCACACATTAGGCACCTTTTCCTGGGATCTAAGACAGGAATGAAGTATTGTTAAAACACTGGTAAATGCTATTAAATCATTGATAATGGTTATAATAATTATAACTATTTCTCTTTATGTTATTTTTCATTTATATGAGCTGAAATGCAAAGCAGGAGTTGATTGCTTAATTAATAGATAACCCCTGTCTCTGGCACTCAAAATTTTTTGAGCAAAGGTCTGCCAACCAAACAGCCAAACAACCAACTGGGCTACCTTTATGCTAGCACCAGCCAAATCTGAATACTCCACGGGCATCATGAGGAAGCTACACAGGTGCACACGGCTGCAGTATTAATCCTGTAGGTTTTATGCCAGATACAACTGTTTGAAATAATTTGCAGCAGACTTTTTTTTCTTCTCCATCAGAAGCCTCAGATTTTCTGATCAAGATGGGGAGAAGGTCACATTAGATAAATGGCTTAGCCAAGAAATGGCTGCTCTTGCAGAGGCACTGGATGGGGTTCCCAGCACCCACATGACAGATTACCATCATTTATAACTCCAGTTCTGAGGGTCTGACACTAGTTCTGGCCTCCACTAACACTGAGCACACATGTGGTGCACATACATATATGCAGGCAAATGCCCATTCACATAAAAATTTTAAAATCTTAAAAGTGGGAGCATTTTCTCAAATGACCCCACAAAAGGCCTGTGACTGGAGTTTTTGAAGACAAGGTATTGTGCTTTGCACCACAGACTAAGCTGAAGATATATAAGTAATCCAGATTAGCCTTGAACTAATGGTTTTTCTCTTTGGCAAGGACAGTGTTTGAAATATCATGTAGCTTCAGGCTGGCTTTAAACTAAGTATTTATCCATTGCAGAGAAAAGTATTTGAGCTGTGATGTAGCCTTAGGCTGGTATTAAACTCAAAAGCTTCCTGCCTGGGCTTCCTAAGTGCTGATTTCAGGCATGCACCACCATTCTTGGCATGAAATATTTTAATCTATGTTTGTATTTGGCCAAAAGAATGCTAGGAAAAAAAAAGAGGGGTTATAAAGACAAGGTAAGTAAAACTTAGTAGTCCAGAAAAGGTACTTTAGCTGTGTGTGTGTGTGTTTAAAGGTTGAAAGGAAGATAGTTCTGTAAGAAGGAACCAAATTGAAGCCATTTTGCATAAAACTTCCATTTTGAATAGGGGTCAAATAAAGTTTAAGTTCCCAAGACCTTCCTGGGTAACTGACATCATGCTAGACATAAAGAGACATGTATGTGGGTAATCCTCGTTGGCAAATTGAGACACAAAGGCTAGGTAAGTCAACCCACTACTGACCACCCACACAGTTCAATAATCCAATCAATGGGAACAGGATACGTGTACCATAAAAACTTGTTCCTAAGGAAGTCCTCTATCCTGAATCCTGATTGGTGGAATAACTTGGTACAGATGTTTGTGGATTTCAGGATTAAAAACTCTGTAGCTTTCTGGCCCTGGGTCACAGCTTAGCTCCTGAGTCTGTTCTGTGGCCCTAATTGATCTGAGTACAGTAAATTTTTGTCATCTGCTTAAATACTAAGATGGATATTCAAGGACACAGTCAGCTCCCAAGTCCGTCCTGTTGTCCCTGACTGGTCAAGGTTGCTACCCGATTCAAATGAAGATCTTGCTTTGCTGGCCTCTTGTGCCTGCTTGGGTTGTTTTGGAATTTTGGACCTCACAGGTCTGGGCTCCAATATTTCAGGGAATCTCAGCAACATTTCATAACTTCAAACTGGATTACTGACCTTTGAGTTTTCCAGTACTTCATGATTATTGTCTCCCTCCTGGGGACTTTTCAGCTTTTCAGGTCTCTTAACATTAGTCCCAATTGCTAGATGCCCTTTATTTTAATGGAACTTTCTAGAGGATTTATTTGGAGAGCCCTGCACTCTTTTTGAATTGGCCTTTGTTATGGGTTGCTTGCTTTAGATTTAAAAATCTATCTTTGTGTCAGAATCCCGTTCTGGTCCAATCAACAATACTAAGAATGTGAGTACAAGGTTCAAAGGATAAGCAGAAATGGAGACATATAGGACTTTAGAAATAAATCATTGCTTTCTTTTCTAATTAAATATTATTGCATTGTACATATTGAACCATTGGCATTATTTCAGAGGTTTTCTTCAACTATTGCATTATTACATTATAAGTAGTTTTGTAAGCAGTTTTATGTATTTATGGACAATGAGGCAAGAAACAAAGTGGCAGAATAACCCAACCAATAGATTTTATTTTTAAAATCTTAAAAAGAAATACAAATTTATGGAAAATCTTTTTCTTTACTGTTCATGGTTTGGATAGGAAATGACCCACAGAGGTCATGTGTGGAAGATTTGGTCCCCAATGCAGCAGAATAGCAAGAGTCAGAGGTTGAGCCTGAGTTATGATAGTATGAGCATCATGATCTTATCAATGGATTATCCCTTATAGCACTGGCAACTGAAGGAACTGTTAGGAGATAATGGAAAGTTTTAGGTTAGAACCTAGTTGGAGGAACTTGGTTACTGGAAATACATTCTTGAAGATTATATTTTGTTTTCGCTCATGCCTTTGTCTTCAGTAGAGTGATCAGTTTTGCTCTGTTATATCCTCTCTGTCATGATGACCACCTTCTTATTCCCATAGGTTCAAAGTCAATACCGCCTAGTGACCATGGACTGAAACTTCTTTAATGATGAACCAAAATTAATATTTCCTCCTTTGTTTTCAATCACAGCAATGGGAAGCTAATTAACACACTCAGTTTCAAGACAATTCAGTAGTGTTACAGTAAAGGCCTAGGCACTGCAGAGGCTTTAGTATACCCATTGTTGAAGATCAATCCTGGGGCCTCATGGACATTAGGTTAGCATTGTACCACTGGACTACATACCCAGCCCTCTCTTTTCACTTTCAGAACTTTGAAATAGCTTCTCACTAAGTTACCCAGGTTTGCCTTCAACTCGATCTATATCCCAGACAGTCACTGAACTTGTGATCCTTCCATCTCAAGTTCCTAAGTAGTGTGGCTATAGAGCTGAGCCACAAGCCTGCTTGATTATTCTATTACCTTATGTCCTTATGAGTATTTGGAATCCTTTGGTGGGGGTGACAATGTAATGTGTGTGTGTGTGTGTGTGTGTGTGTGTGTGTGTATGTGAGAGAGAGATTAGGTTGAGTGACAATATTCTTAAAACACAGCAGTTGAAGGGTGGGGAGATGGCTTAAATGTTGAGGTACAAACATAAAGACTTGAGTTTGATTCCCAGAAGCCACATAATAAAAGATGGGCATGAGCCAGGTCTGGTGGTGCACACCTTAATCCTAGCAGTCAGGAAGCAGAGACAAATGGACTTCTTGAGCTATGAGTGAAGCCAAGGTGAAA